CTGCACGCAATCGGCTTCGAAATTGACGACCTTTCACCTCATAAAGTCACCGGTCACCTTCTAGTCACCCCAAAGTGCTGTCAGGTAGTAATCACTCTCATCTCTGAATTCTGATCTTAGTAATTGGGCTTAATTTTATATGTGGGGCAGCCGTTCAAGGTGTTACACGGAGGGGTTTCCGCTCTGATAGCGGAGGCGCTGGCAAGCATAGGAGCCCACCTGGCATCCGGCTTCCGGCGAGTGGCAGGAATACACCTTAGCATCAACCATCTCAAGAGTGCCCAATCCGGTGACCTTGTTCTTGCCGAAGCAACTCCTGTCAATGTTGGCAAAACCATTCAGGTATCAACAGCATACCATGTTTTATTATTTTATTTTATTTTTGTACACGATTTTGCTTGCTTTGTTAGCCAATAATAAATCGTAAATTCTACGAAATATATGAATAAAAATTATAATTTGCAAACTTGTACTATAACTTATGATCGAATTCATAGTATGGGAATGTCCGGCAAAATCGTCCTAGTAAATTTTCCATTTGGTTTATTTGATCGAGATAATTTAAGTTTGCGTGTTCTAATTGAGATTTTGCCGGACATTACCACAATTTATTTAAAATAGTTTGAAGGATAACAATAATTTCAATTCCGAACGGCAGGTGTGCCAACTAATACTGTTAGGTGTAACTTGGAAGATAAAAACTCTAACCACTTGTTTGGTAAATTCTTCTATGTATTTATTATGTAAGAAAATTAAATAAAATCATTTGTCAACCCTTCTTGTCAAGGATGTCATTGAAGTTTGTAGTGATAAACATGTTAAAATAGTTCACCATTCTGGTTTCTTGAGATGCCATTCTCTTCGCCAAGCTAAGAGCTCAAATGTTCGACTCTCGACTATAGATCATCACAACTGCTATCCACGGTCGCAATATGCAATCAGTAGTGCTTAAATGTCTAGTAATCGATCTCATTACTTACACTCTGTTTTGTACAAATTAAAATAAAGATTTTAATCCAAGTCAAATTAAAAATTAATTTTAACCACATATTATATAAGTTCCACAACTTTTCAATCACACATTTCATCAATTTCTATCAAAATCTACTAAAAATTTAATTTTAAAAATCCACCAAACTGGGGCTAAATAAGTACTGTCTTGTGGCAGGTTTGGGAGGTGAGCCTCTGGAAGCGCGATTCTTTGAAGTCTGAGAAGAAAACATTGATATCATCGTCAAGAGTGACTCTTCTTTGTAACATGCCTGTGCCGGAAACTGCTAAAGATGCTGGTGAAAATCTCAAAAAATATGCAAAATTATGAGTTCAATTCAATGTAATGTATTTCTGCAATTGTTAAAACATAATTTAGCTCAAATTCATTAAGTATACAAGTACAATCAAATGAAGCATCTTCCTGTTGTGCAAGTCTGCATATTGCCCCAGAAGAAAACACAAATGGTTGCCAATTAAGAACACTCGAATAGGTACTTTTCGTTCATCCTCCTGCAAAAACAATTGACTTGCGAAACTGGCATAGACATGAAATTGAAGATTCATAAATAAAGCTTGGCACATTTAAGCACCCCGAAAGGGCATGTATAAGTTTGGTGGTTCTCCCTTAGCAGGCTTAAAACGAATAATTGCCATAATCTCTCAAATTTGATCGTTTCCACTAGATGTGCCCTAAATCGACACCCTTGAGAGCAATGAAGGGATGAACCGAAGCAAATGAATATTCTAAAATCTCTATTCCATGAGTGCATTGAGCAATATGGCATCTTTCATACTCATTTAACTAGGACGAGGTTGTAGACCCGCCCAACATCATTAGCCATCTGGTACTATGTAATGTCGAGTGTCCCGTTCAGTACACTATCGTTTTGAAGGCTAAAATTGAAATCAAATTTTAAATGATGGACAAGAAACTCTACCGTCAAATATGAGGTTTAATGTCTAACCACCTTTACATTCACAAATGGCCAAAAAGTGGAGATTAAATGTGAGGTTACATTACATTCCCTTTAATCATAAGAGATGCACACCATAGGCCTTACAGCTTTATAAATATCTTCGTTCTTACTCTGACAGACATGTACGTAGCCCACCTGTTGATGCTTGAAAAATCCAGTCCAAATTCCTTTGGTAGGTCCAGTAATGGATCTCATTCTACTCTTCTTGGATCAGCCAATGAATCAAACCTTCAAGAATATATCACGTATAACCTTATTCCAAGTAGATGCAATCGTCTTCTTCTTCTAGCTCCCTTCCATCTGCTTCCCAAATCCTATCATTGTTGTCATGCTAGACGCCATACAGTTTAGTGTCCACGGTGCACTCTTGCACCAATATCTGGTTTCACTCAAGTTAGGACCATATTTCAAGGACCTCTACTTTGATGGCTTTCCTATTGATATCACTCGTATTCTATTAGGGGTATCTAAAGGAGGAGTCATGATTTTGTTTTAGTAATTCCATGTTCCAAAACTACTGATGCTTCTTGTGAGGCTAAGTTGTATTTCAAGAAATTTTTCCACTTGGATGATTTGCTTCCTACCATTGTATAATTCTGTGAATACTTTCAGAAGCATTATAGAAATTTTTTAGAATCATTTTAACATATTAATCTGCTTTCTACACTGAAATTAATGATCAATCAAAGATTGTGGACATAGAATGAAACGAACTGTTAGAGTTGTAACTCAAATAGAAGTCTTGAATTGCATGTTGTTGGTGTTGGAAAGGAGTTTAACTACATTCAACAACAAGGAAACACAATCCCGTTGAAATTGGGTCTCCTAATTGTAATATTTTTTTTTTGCCTTTGACGACTCTTCTAGGGTTTGAAATGTGGCCTATAAATACAAAGCCCCTTTGTCAGTTTTATTTAAGCATTATTACTATATCTATAATTTCTCTCAATATTGTCAGTTTATAATACATCATTCCTCTGTGATAAATTTACTTTGTTGATTTCTTTACTTTTAATCTTATTTCCCATTGTGATTTTTATTACTTCACATCGACATTAAATCTCATTATTTACAATCCAGTTTGGGATCAACATGAATAAGAACTGGGATTATAGAAGGGGAAAGGGGGAGAAGCAGAAGTTTGGAGAACTATGTTTGTATTCAATATTCTTGGGTCTCCTAATTGTAATATTTTTTTTTTGCCTTTGACGACTCTTCTAGGGTTTGAAATGTGGCCTATAAATACAAAGCCCCTCTGTCAGTTTTATTTAAGCATTATTACTATATCTATAATTTCTCTCAATATTGTCAGTTTATAATACATCATTCCTCTGTGATAAATTTACTTTGTTTATTTCTTTACTTTTAATCTTATTTCCCATTGTGATTTTTATTACTTCACATCGACATTAAATCTCATTATTTACAATCCGGTTTGGGATCAACATGAACAAGAACTGGGATTATAGAAGGGGAAAGGTGGAGAAGCAGAAGTTTGGAGAACTATGTTTGTATTCAATATTCCAAGTCTCCTATTACAATGCACATGCTCATTTTATATAGGGTTTTAATTAATCTAATTTTTAAGTAAGAAACAACAAATAAAATACTAGAAAATCCACAAAATAGACCTAATTACTTTTCCTAAATTAATAATCTAAACTTGGATAGCCTCGTATATTCATCAGTTGTCATACAGAATATTGTACTCTTAGTTGCTTTTTTTCCTTCTCTGGTCATTGCTCTCTATATATAAACATATTGAAGCCAATAAAATTTGACCATTCCTAAAAGAAACAGTAGACAGAAAAAGAATCCCGATAACCTATGATGCTCGAACTCGAGTACGGGTACGTATTTAAGTGACGAATATTTTATTTTCTAAAATGAAGGATATGACGACATGGCTAAAAATAGTCCAAATTTTGGACATGGGTATATAGGTAGGTCTTCCACACTTCAATTTTTTCCCAAAAAATTTATACGTAAAAAGTAATATAATAATTAAGTGACAAATTGTTAAAATATAGAACGTCTCACTTAAAACCAACTAGAAATTTATACCAAAAGTCTAAAACACCAAAAATAGCATAAATTTACATGGCAAAAGCACAAAAATAAAAGTTAGAAATGACAAATAATTACAATTGCCATACCCACTTGAACATTGAAGGATCCGCCCCATATTTTATATCCATACACATCGTATCGTGTCAACAAGGGTGTGCCGATCGAAATGCCAAGTTCAAGCATCACAACTAATAACTGGGACCTTGTATATCTACATAGACAAATGATATCACTATAATTGTCTTAGAGGATCATCATGTCATTAATTCTTTGTTCTATGGAAAGATCATCCTTCTATAGATGATACTTGGATACCACAAGTGTCTTAACTAGTGGAGCAACATTTGCAGCATATATCACTAAGTCGAGTTATTTCAGCCCATTAAAAATGATAGAAATCACATTCCCAATGAAGAAGATCACCTTGAGGGGGGATTAAATTCCAACAGGACACTTGTTCTAGGCATCCATTTAGAAAGTACATATTAATAGATTTTCCAACTCTTCTAGTTGCAAAGAAGTACTTATCAGTTACATTAAATAAATACAACGTAGATTTTGTATCTTTTACCCCAATTCTTTCTCTAGAAGGAAAAAATAAATAAAAAATAAAAAATCCTCAAGTTGGTAGTAGGCTCCAGAATCAAACAAGAAAGCATAGTGCTTACTAAAGGAAGATAAATACAAGTGGACACATACAAGTTACATCAACCAAATTATCGATTATGTACCAGACTACATTGATCATGTGAATTTCTACATGCAATTGTGAACTTGATATCTGTAAGACTAAAATGATATTCGTCTTTCATGTTGAGAAATTTTGATGGAACATAAATAGCAGAATTATTGCTTCTGTTCTTTCTTTGCACGAGGACTTACATATATCCTTTGCCTCAACAATCCAAAAATCATATAATTGCACTCATTACTGATGTAATATAAAGTAACACTAGTTGTGGAATTTTACAAATTCTCGAGGAAGGTATTACCTGCATATGCTAAGTTGTTGCGTCAAATCTTTGATATCAAGGCCGAACAGTTTTTGAGTGTCAACAAGGTTTCAGGCACCTCTTTTTAGATCATTTCAGATAATTTGTCCATTGAAGCTGCCAATCCTCAGAGATTCTAAAAAACATAGTGTAACATAGGCTAAATAAGTACTGTCTTTTAGAAGGTTTGGCAGGTGAGCCTTTGGAAGCGCAATTCTTTGAAGTCTGAGAACAAAACATTGATATCATCGTCAAGAGTGACTCTTCTTTGTAACATGCCAGTGCTATAAACTGCTAAAGATGCTGGTGGAAGTGTCAAAAAATATGCAAAAATATGAATTTAATTCAATGTAATGCATTTTGATAAGCCTCCCATCCGATTCACTTAATCTGGAAGAGTAATGAAGCATGACTCACCAGCTGGCAGGAAAGGGGGACTGCATTCTGTTGCAGGGGAAAGTAGTTAGGCAAAATTAGTTAGGAGAAAGTCATAAATAGAGGTAGAAGGAGAGTCTGGAGGTAGGCATAAATTGAGAGAAGGAAGAGATAGCGGAGAGTCCCTATCTAAGTCTATTACCCTTCGGTTATGAAGTCAATTTCTTCAATACAATTAAAAGTTCAGTTACTTATTTCTGTGTTCTTTTACAGCAACTTCTTTTCTTGGTTGGAGTCCTAACACATTTCTGCAACTGTTAAACATAATTTATCTCAAATTCATAAAGTATATGAGTACAATCAAATGAAGCATCTTCCTGTTGTACAAGACTGCATATTCCCCAGAAGAAAACACAGATGGTTACCAATTAAGGACACTCGAATAAATAGTTTTTGTTCATCCTCTCCTATAACAACAATTGACTTGCGAAACTGGCATAGATATGAAATTCAAAATTCATAAATAAAGCTTGGCACGGTTAAGCACCCCGAAACGGTGCATATAAATATGGTTATTCTCACTTAGCAGGCTTAAAACAATAATTGCCATGATCTTTCAAATTTGATCGTTTCCACTTGATGTGCCGTAAAGCATTTCTTGATTGATCAACACCCTTGAGAGCAGTGAAAGGATGAATTGAAGCAAATGAGGTATTCTAGAATCGATATTCCATGAGTACATTGAGGAATATGGCATGAAAAATGCCCAACTTACTCGTTTAACAAGTTTGTAGACCTGCCCAACATTGCTGGCAAAATGGTACTATGTAATGTTGAGGGTCCAGTTCAGTACTCTATCACTTCGAAGGCTAAAATTGAAATCAAATAAAATAAAATTTTAAACGATGGACAAGATACTCTCATATATGAAGTTTTATGTCCCACCACCTTTAACAAATGGCCTAAAAGTAGAGATTAAATGTGAGATTACATTACATTCCCCTGAATCATAAGAGAT